GAACTAAGTTTAAATGGTATGAGTGGGGCAAAAATTCCATTTTCCTAATCAATAGGGAGCTATTAAATCTAACTTCTGAGACTGTTTGTGGGTTTGCATATTAATCTTCCTGAACATATACTTTTTACTCTATAATTTGAATGCAGAAAATTAAACCATGTGTCAGAACAAAGCATGAGCTCTCTATAGTATTCAAAATAAAGGCTGCAAGTTCATAATTTGGTACTTGAGTATTTTATAGTTTTAAAGAGAAAGAGACAAGCATTTCTTGAGCACCTCATGCCAGGCTCTGTACTTAGGGTCTTTTTCATGTTATTGTTTATTCTNATCAATCCCAAAAAACGAGTTTCTGTGAAAAATGAAGTGACTAATGAACTAAGTTTAAATGGTATGAGTGGGGCAAAAATTCCATTTTCCTAATCAATAGGGAGCTATTAAATCTAACTTCTGAGACTGTTTGTGGGTTTGCATATTAATCTTCCTGAACATATACTTTTTACTCTATAATTTGAATGCAGAAAATTAAACCATGTGTCAGAACAAAGCATGAGCTCTCTATAGTATTCAAAATAAAGGCTGCAAGTTCATAATTTGGTACTTGAGTATTTTATAGTTTTAAAGAGAAAGAGACAAGCATTTCTTGAGCACCTCATGCCAGGCTCTGTACTTAGGGTCTTTTTCATGTTATTGTTTATTCTTCATAATAGCTCTCTCAGGCGCTTGTAATTATCCTTTTAGTACAGAAGAAGCAATTGGTGCTCAAAAAAAGTTAATGGCAGAGGTGAGGCTTGAACCCAGGTCTGACTGATGCTATAACTCTCCCTCTTCCTGTGACACCAAATAGTTTAATTTCCTTCCTAGAGAGGCCATCTAATTTAGAATCTGCAGAGTTTTCCCCCACAATCCAATAGATGGGCCTGAATTATGCTAAAGGAATTCAAAGATTCAGATGGCTACTACCCAGATTTGTCAGCAAACCCATCTGATGATGACAGCAATGATGATGATGATGACAAAAACGGCCTGTGTAAGCCACGTTGAGTGTCAC